CTCCCTCTCTCTCCCTCCCTCTCTCTCTCTCTCTCTCTCTCTCTCTCTCTCTCTCTCGCTCTCGCTCTCACTTTCTTCTCTCCACGCTCTCGTCTCTTTTCCAGGAATCCCAAATTCTTGCTTTGTCTTTTTTCCCCCCACAAGTCAATTCTCATCTCTGCAGTCCCTGTTTTCCAGCTCAGCTCTAGGCCATCTTCACACATCCAAACCCAGGCGGAAGTCTTCCTTTCTCAGAAGGAAGCTGTAAATAGTAGTTTCCCTCTTCCATTAAGTTCCCATTTTGCAGGTGGGGAAAGGAACGGGCTCCGATCGGTAAAGTGGCTGTGCCTCATCCTTCCCTGCCTCCTGCAACTGTGGATTCTCGCCTTTACGCCTGGCTCAGTGTGTCTAGGGTTTGAGTTGGGAGGGTTACCTGACCCTGCAGGGGGGAGGCTTAGAAAGATAGAAATCCCAGGTGCTCGGGTACCACCTCAGGCTAATTGATCAGGATCTTTGCATTGGGGACCCAGCATAGGTATCCTTAAAAAGCTCCTCAGGTGCCTATGCTGCCAGGGCTGAGAAGTGCACCCTGGGCAAGGGCTGACCTCGTCTCTTCTCAGCCATTGACCTGTGTGCTGAAGGGGCCCACGGCTGTGAGCACCACTGCATCAATTCCCCCGGCTCCTATTTCTGTCGTTGTCAGCCTGGATTTGTACTTCAGCAAGACCAGAGGAGCTGCAGGGGTGAGTCTGCAAGCCCCCATTCCCCAGCCCTCACCTCTAGCGTCCTGCCCTGAGGCCTCTGATGGCTCCAATCAGAAGCAACATCTTGCTTTTTTTCCCTTCTTCCACCAGTCATTGACCACTGCAGCTTCGGAAATCACAGCTGCCAGCATGAATGTGTTAGCACCCTTGCAGGGCCACAGTGCCTTTGCAGAGAGGGTCACGACCTGCTGCCTGATGGGAAGAGCTGTCAGGGTAATGAGCAGTCCTCTGCCTTCGTGGGGAGGGTAGGAACCCAGGCTGGGGAGGTCCACCCTGACTCATCCTGCTCTCTCTCCTTTAAGTTAGGGACCTGTGCAATGGTGTGGACCATGGCTGTGAGTTCCAGTGTGTGAGCGAGGGCCTCTCCTACCGCTGCCTGTGTCCCGAGGGGCGGCAACTTCATGCAGATGGCAAGAGCTGCAACTGTGAGCTATGGGTGGGGGTCATTCTGTCTGCTCCTGCCCCATTGCCCAGGTTCTGAGCATCCTTGTTGTGGCTTAAGGATGTGGTATGAATACATGCATCAGGGCAGCCTGCTGGAGGATGTGCTGTGCCCTGCCTCTGCTGCTCTCCCCTCAACCTTCTCTCCCGCTAATCCTCTTCCCAGGGTTAATTTAAACATTCATATTTGACCACATTGTTCCTTTCCTCAAAATCCTTCTGTGGCACACCAGTGACTCCAGAATAGAGATCGAATGCCTTACCCATGAGTTTTTCAAATGGTGGTCACAACCACATGAGTGGATAATGAACTCAAATTACTGGGTAACAACCCGCATTAAAAAAAAAAAAAAAAAAAAAGGAATGGAAGAGAAAACAGTCTCCTGTCTGTAACAGTCTCCTGTCTGTAGAAAGAGTATTGTTTCACCAAGCTCATTTAGTTATATGTGAGCATATATGTATGATGTGAATCATGATGTATTATTATCATTATCATCATTTTTTTTTTTTTTTTTTTTTTTTTTTTTACTGTGGGTTGTGGTCAGAATTTTGAAACTTCTGTCATAGCTCATCAACACTTTAGCTTCAGCCAACTTACCAGCCTGACTCTTTCCACACTTAAACATTTTTGTCATAGTAGCCCCTTCTTGAATGTGTTGCAAACTTGCCAGGACCAAGTTCCCCTGTTCTGCCCCAGGCCTTTGCACATGCTGCTCTCACTTTCTGGAGAGTCAGTCTCTCTCTCTCTCTCTCTCTCTCTCCCTCCCTCTCAGCCTTCACAAACTCCTCAAGACTGCTTTAGTCTACTCAGACTCCTATGACAAAGTACCATAGGCTGATTGGCTGTCTTCGGCAGTTTCATGTTGCTGTAACAAAATACTCGAGGTTGGGTATTTATAAAGAAAAGAGATTTATTTAGGTCATGGTTCTGAAGGCCCAACATTATGGCACTGGCAACTTCTTGGTTTGTGGTGAGGGCCTCATTGCTGATGGCGTTGTATAGAGATGAATTACTTTACCCTTCAGGACCTCAATTTATAGAAAATGGGGGCAATACTCAAGGTTACTGGGTGTGTTGAGAATACATATACAGTACCTTTCCCAGTGCCTGGAGCCCTGTAAACTATCAGAAAATGGTTTTTTGTTGTTATTGTTATTCTTATTATTACTACGGGTACAGTGCCGAGAATTGTGTCTGATACATAGTAGCTGATCGCTAAATGATAACTATAGTGGCTGCTGTTGCTGTTGGCTATCTAGGTTACTTAAGAAGAGATGCTTGTAGCAGAGTGGTCTGTGCTAAGCACTAATACATGCTGAAAGCTGCTAATGATGTCGGTTTAGCACACTGCTGGGCACAGCACGGACTCAGTACACGGCCTCGATTCTACAGGAGTGTTTGCGAATGGATGGCTGGGTGGGTAGATGGTAGTCAAGGATCTGGCCTCCACCCGAGCCTTCTTGCTGGGCAGGGTGCCGCGAAGGCCACGTGGACCTCGTTCTGCTCGTGGACGGCTCGAAGAGTGTGCGCCCGCAGAACTTCGAGCTGGTGAAGCGCTTTGTAAATCAGATCGTGGACTTCCTGGATGTGTCCCCCGAGGGCACGCGCATCGGGCTGGTACAGTTCTCCAGCCGCGTGCGCACAGAGTTCCCCCTGGGCCGCTACGGCTCTGCCGCGGAGGTGAAGCGGGCGGTCCTGGCGGTGGAGTACATGGAGCGCGGAACCATGACCGGGTTGGCGCTGCGCCACATGGTGGAGCACAGCTTCTCCGAGGCGCAGGGCGCGCGGCCCCGCGCCCTCCATGTGCCGCGAGTGGGCCTCGTCTTCACCGACGGCCGTTCCCAGGATGACATCTCCGTGTGGGCAGCGCGCGCCAAGGAGGAAGGTGGGCTCGGCACGGGACTTGCTGGGCCGGGATTGGAGTGCGTGCGGGAAGGCAGCTTTCCCGAGGCTTTGGGCCCCTTCTGAGTTCTCCAGTCCCGTAGGTATCGTCATGTACGCGGTGGGTGTGGGCAAGGCGGTGGAGGAGGAGCTGCGCGAGATCGCCTCGGAGCCGGCTGAGCTGCACGTGTCCTACTCCCCGGACTTCAGCACCATGACACACCTGCTGGAGAACCTCAAAGGCAGCATCTGTCCGGGTGAACACATCTCTCTCGGGACTCCTCTGCCCTCATTGCCTAACCTCTGGTAGCGCCCCTTCCTACTCACCCCTCGCCACACCCTCCTTATAGAGTTACAGCTAGCGATGGACTCAACTAGACATAGCATTGTTAGTTAAAGTGTGGTGTGTGGCCCAGTGGCGAGTTAGCACCCAGTAGCGTGTTAGAATGCAGCGTTTCCAGAGCTTCCCAGACCTAGTGAATCAGCATTTGCACTTTACCAAGACCCTCGGGTGATTGTTATGCATATAAAGGTAAGCACTAGATTAGCCTACCTGTCCCCAGATCAGTGGTGCTAATGGAGCCACAGCATATGGCCTCCGAATTTGTTGAAATTTAACTTTGTGCACTTGGCAGAGTGGCAGGGTGTGTTTTAAGTCTGCAAAGATGTGTACAAAGAAGTGTGGCCCACAAAGGCAACCCACCTGCTTCACGGAGTCCTTAGCTGAGAGAAACGGGATCAACTCTACCTGTGGAGGAAAAGGGGCTGGTTGAATCCGGGGTACTGTACCTTATAGGTGATGTGAAAAATTTCTGGGGGGAAATTGTTCCTGTAGGATCTTTAGACTCTACCCCCGGCATAAGGTGTGACTCTTCTTTCAGATTATCAGGCCCCACCTGATAAGAGATAGGTTTGGTGGAGCGGGGCTGAGCCTGGCTGTATGTAGGTATGTGTACACACATTTCTGTCCTCCCAATGCTAATTCTAATAATTAGCCAGGGCATCGAGAAGACATTGGACTAGCTGCTCTCTCAGGGCCTTCCTTGTTCTCGTACATCTCCTATGGCGTGACTTTGGAGAAGTCCCTTAACCTCCACCCTGCCTTAACTTCCCTCTTTTGTAGCAGGACAGGGTACTGCCTGCCCCAGATTGCCTCCAACTGCAGAATTGGAGGGGATGTCTGGGGTCTGTGGCTGAAGTTCCTTAGCAGTTGGCTATGTGACCCTGGGCAGACTGCTTCTCTGACCCTTGTTTTCCACATCTGTGAAATTAGAAGCCTTGATGGGACCGATATTGATACCCTCAGCAGCATGACATACATAGCTTTAGGGTACACACAAGACAGATTAAGAGGTAACCTTTAAATCATAATAGCAGCTCTGCGAAGGCAAAGTGCTGGGCATTGTGCTTATTCATTGCCTGTAATATTGATACAATTACAGAATTTCAGTGACTTTAAAACACTATCTATGGCAAGATTCACCCTTAGTTTATTTACGGTTATGAAAAACAGGTGCAAAATGTAGTTGCAAAGCTCCCTTCCCCCCAGATGTTGAAATGTGTAGGGAGAAAGGCTTGATCGTGTTTCTCAAATATTAATGAGTGTTAAAGCCACCTGGAGGGTTTTGTAAAACAAACTGCTGCGTTCTAACCCCAGATTTTCTGGTGCAGTAGATCTGAGGTGGGTTGGATGATATTGCACTTGTGATAAATTTCTAGGTGCTGCTGATGCTGCTTTTCCAAGGACCACACTGTGGATCCCTGGTTTCTGGAAGTGTACTAGGAAGTGTTTACTCATGGCGGGCAGTGTCCTAGATCCATGCTTTCCATTAAGGCAGACAGTGGCTACAGTACATGTGGCCGCTTAAGTTAAAATAAAGTAAAAATTGAGTCCTACCATTGAACCTGTCCTGTTTCAAGTGTTACATAGCCACATAACCACATGTGGCTTGTAGTAATTGCATCGGACAGGGCAGATGTAGAAAATTTCCATTGTTGCCCTAAGTTTCACTTGGAGAGTGCTCCGTGCTCTGGACTCTTGCTGCTCAGTGTGGTGCATGAGGCAGAAGTCAGCAGCAGCATCACTTGGGAGTTTATTGGAAACACATTCTCAGCTCCTTCCCCATTCTGGATCAGAATCTTTTAAATTTTATTTATTTTATTTTTTATTCTGAGGGTCAAACTCAGGATCTTGTGCTTGCGAGGCAGGAGCGGTGCCACTGAGCTAAATCCCCGGTCCCAGAATCTATATTTTAACAAGCTCCCCCCGATGATGCCGATGAGCATTAAGGTTTGAGACACTCTCTGAAAAGTCATTGAATCCAAACAACCCCCCAGTGGGTCGGTCTCATTATCCTCAGTGTGTAGAGGAAGAAACAGGCTTGGAGAAGTTGAATGGGTTTTCTGGTACCTCCCAGCTGTCCAAGCCTGTCTGAATCCAAAGCCCATACATTCGACTCCAGGCCCAGTGGAGCTGACTCAGAGGACCAGTGTAAGGGCCACCTCGGCCTCCTTCAGTTTCTCTGTCTGTTCCCTTCCTGCAGAGGAGGGGATCGGCGCCGGGACAGAACTTCGGAGCCTTTGCGAGTGCGAAGGCCTCGTCGAGTTCCAGGACCGCACGCTGGGGGCGCTGGAGAGCCTGACGCAGACCCATATCCTTTGGGGCGCAGGCGCTGGCTGAGGGAAGGCGAAGGGACCCCAACCCCAGCGGCTTCCTTAACCACTTACTGGCCCAGCTGACCGCTCGCCTGGAGGATCTGGAGAACCAGCTGGCCAGCCAGAAGTGAGGGCCGCGGGTGGCCCGGGCCCGGTGGGGACCCCGCGCGGGCAGAGTCCACGCCTGGACTGTCGGGGGAAGGCGCTGGCGGGCTCCCAGCGCTGCGCTGAGCTGGCCTCGCCTGGACCGGGAGCCGGACTTCGGGAACGCGGCCGTGTCCGGGCGGGGGGGCTGCTGGACCCTCACGCCCTCGCCACGTGCTGCGCTGTTCTTTGTTGGATTTCTTTGTTTTCTTTTTCTTAAAAAAACAGAACTGGTTTCCGTGGGGTCGTTTTGTGGGCCTTGCTGCCCTGCCAGGGGGAAGGGAGGCCAGACTGGGCGCGCTCCATTGGCGCCCGGGTGGCGTCTCCTGTGAGAAAGGCTCATTGTGCGGGGGTCGGGCTGGGGAGCTGGGGACCCGCGCTGCTTCCCCCTTCTTGTTTATTCAGCCGAGAACAGATGGCTTCTTATGCAGGATGTGTGTGTGTGCTGGGGGGCGGTGTTCCAAGGGGAAGCCTGGGGGTCTGAGCGATGTTCCACCTCCCGCACCCCCCAACGCAGCGAACATCTCACTGAGGCAGTGCCCCGGAATCTGGCTCAAAAGCTGTGGGAGAGTTGGTGCAAAAGTGGGAGGCAGCGACTGAACCCCTAAGTGGATGAAGCAGGGACAAATAAATCAGTTTTGTCCTGATTTTATCTCCCTCCTGCGACAGGTGGGAAGAGAAGGAGGTATTAAGTAGGACCCCTGGCCCAGCCTGTGGCCGTCCGTCCCTCTGCCACACTCCCCTGCAACAAACAAAACACATTTCTCTTTCAGTAAAAAACACCAACTGCTACCATTCCTCAGGTGCATGTGAGAGACTGCAAAGTTTAAAATGCTTCCAGTTCTGGCGTGGTTTTAGGAAAATTACTGTGGGTTTGTTCCCTCATTGATAAAGTGTAGATTCAACTCGTTACCCTCAAGGGTAATGAGCCGGAGGAAGTTCTTCTAAGGTATGTGACGAAGTGTGTGGTACATATCAGGCCCTCAATCATTCTTATTAATTGCTGGCCATTAATTATTTTCCAGTAACAGCTAACATATTTAGTTTGGGGCACTGTATTAAGTGACTTGCGAGTACAGTATTTTCATTTTATCCTCACCATGACTTTATGAGATTTAATGCCTTTAAGCCAGGCGCGGTGGTGCACCTCTGTCATTCCAGCACTCTGGGAGGCTGAGGTAGGAGGATTGCAAGTTTGAGTTCAGCCTGGGTGATTTAGCAAGACCATGTCTCAAAGTAAAAAAAAAAAATTAAAGTAAAAGGGCTGGAAATGTAGCTCAGGGTGAAGGCTCTGGGTTCAATCCCTGGTACTGGGGGAAAAATTTTATTGATTTAACATTAACATAGATTTAACATTTAACATTGATTTAACACGTGAAAATGGAGACACAGAGCAATTAGCTTTCCCAAAGTCACACAACTAGTAAGAAGCCGACCCAGGATATACTAATTTCCTGTGGCTGCTATCACATATCACACATAGCCATACACCAGGGAGTGTAAATACAGCGGAACTCTTACCTTATAGTTCTGGAGGCCAGAAGTCCAAGATGGGTTGGCAGGGTCGCATTCCTTCTGGAGGCACCTGTTTCCTTGTCTTTTCCTGCTTCTGGAGGCTGAATGCCTTGGTTTATGGCCCCTCCACCCTTCAACCCCTTCCGTCTCTGTCTTAGAAGGACTCTGTGAATATATTGTGGTGATCTGGATAATCACAGATAAGTTCCCCATTTCAAACTTTCATGTTATGATACCTACAAGTCCCTTTTGGCTTGTAAAGTGACAGGCTCTTAGGGACTAGGATGCAGACATCTTGGAGAGGGGCTTATTCTGCTTAGCTCACAGGGCTGAAGCCAGGCTCACTGACTGTGGTCGCCTTCTGCGCCTGGCACTTTGCTAGGCTGGGTGAAGGAGACACCTGACTGAGAAAAGTCCTTGAGGAGGGGAGCTTAGGGCTGGAGGGGACAGTGTCCACCCGACTGTACCTACAGCAGAAAGAAGGGGCTTCAGAGAAGAGAAGGAAGCACTAGGCAGGTAAGGAGAGAGAAATCCAGGAGGAGATGGTCTTTGAGCTGGAACGTTAATAGGCAGCCGTGAAGGATTCTATAAGTGAGTGAAGAATCAGTGTGCATGGTCAGGAGTGACTTGAGCACGTGACTGGGGTGTTCAAGGTCTTACCTGGACGTGAAGGTCAGATACGCTGATGTGCTGTGGATAGCACGTGGTGGGAAACCTAATCTCGCCGACCCTTTCATTTTACAGTTGGGGAAATTGAGGTCTAGAGGACAGAATTGGTTGCTCACATAGTGAGAAAATACCAGCTGGACCAGGCAAAAGCATGGGATGGGACAGCAGACAGGAACAGAGCACTGCACCCAATGCGGGCACTGTGGGAAGGTACAAGCCAGGCTCCTTCCCTCCCTGCCCCTGGCCAGCGCTGCCTTCTCTAGGATTTTTTCTCCCCTCTTTTCTCCTGCAATCTCACTAGTGGCCACTGGATGGCACCCAGAGTTCTGATTTGGAGCTGGATCCCAGAGCTCTAGCAAGCATCCTGCCCTGGTCTGAGAAATAAAACTATGTGCTCCATTTACACCAAAGATTTCAGAATAAAGAGTTCACCAGACCAGAGTTGGAGTCAGGGTGACTCCAGGATGGAGGTGGGCATAGGAGGTGAGAAGACAGAAGGGTTTCCTCAAAACCAAACCTGTCCTTGAAACACTGGTCTTCGTTCTCTTTTCAGAGTGGGAGGTAACATCAGCTTGGCTTCCAACATTTTGTGCGACCAGAAACTTTTGTGAGTCTCTCTTAGGGGTACTTGTACTTTAAAAGAAGTCAGGGAGGAAGAGAGCAAAGGTGGATCCAAAAGGAAAACTGTTTATAAAGGGATTTCAGGCAGCCGGGTCCATATACGTGGGCTAAACTCATCCTGTTTCAGATACTGTGCTCAGCTCTTCTCCCTGCGATTATCAAGGCTATACTGTGTGGTTAGAATAATCACTTCTATTGGACAGTGGAGGCAAGTGAGGTCAGAGAGGGGATGGGAGGCACCCAAAACCATGCAGCGAACTCCTTGATGTCCATCCAGGGTTGTTCCCTGGATAGAAGGGTCAGAAATGGACAGAATGTTTGGGGTAAAAGTGAAGACCTTCTCTTGACCCAATATCAGCTACCTACAGGCTGAAGGTCTAGAAGGAGAGAAAGGATTTCAGGAAAAACTAGCACGACTTGGAAGCCCTTTGATCCTGGATTCAGCTGCATTCCACAAGGGCAGGAGGAGAAAGAGGATGGGGAAAGGTTTTGGATGAATTGAGGAACAACATGATGATAATGGCATTGATAATCTCAGTGGCTGGTGCTTGGGGCAATTCACAACGCCATTCTATGTTATCCACAAGTAATCAGAGCCATGCAGTCATCCTGGGAGGAAGACAAGGCAATGTGGCTGTTGCTATTGTACAGAAGGGGAAACTCAGGCTACCGAGGGAGAGTAACTTGTTCAAGATGACATGTCAAATTACTCTCAGTGCTGGACAGGACCCAGGCTTCCTGGTTCCCAGCCAGTGATCTCACTGCCTCACATGGGCCACATCTGTGACTGGCCGGGGAGAATGGGGCCTTTATGAGAGCTGCAGCTCAGCCATGCCTCCTCCCAGTTTCAGGTTGATCGCCAGGCAGAGGTTTGGATTGGAGGCTAGGAGTATCAGAGGACAGAGGACTCTAGAGTCAGGGGTAAACTCCAAAGCAGGCATGCATCCTCCAGGCTTCCTGACCCCTCGTTCTGACCTGCCTGTGGCTGATCCTGCCCCAGGATCGTGTGTGTGTGTGTGTGTGTGTGTGTGTGTGTATGACACCATCTCTCTTGGAAAAGGACCTCACTCATGCTGGCCTCTCTCCATGCCCTCCTCTTAGCCTGGTTCAGGCTTAGCAGATCCTCTGCTCAAAGAAAGCAAGCATCTTTTGTAAAGAATTCCCACTGAGCACCTCCTGTGTGCCAGGTTTTGTGCTGGAATTTCCTCCTCTTGTCATTTTTGTTTGAGAAGCACCTCACCCCTTTCCCATGGGTTTTATGTTTCCCAGAACCTTCCCATTCTCATCTTTAAAATGGGTAGTAGGTCAGAATTAAAACTGCTTTTTAAATTCATCAGAGAAAGAGTTTTGTGGCTTTTAGATTAGAAAGTACAGCTATAGCCCCTGAATTTTGCCATCTTTTTGTTTGTTTTTTGAGACAGGGTCTCACTATGTAGTTGAGACTGACCTGGAACTCACTGTGTAGCTCAGGCTGGTCTCAAACAGCGATCCTCCTGCCTCAGCCTCCCGAGTGCTGGGATTACAGGTGTGCGCCACCACGCCCGGCTTCAATTTTGCCATCTTTAAAGTAGAAGCCTACATATTACTTACTTTAAAAGACATTTTAAAAATTAAAAATTTTTATTAGTGCATATTAATTGTACAACATATTGTTTCATTGTGGCATTTTATACATGCATATAACATTTTGATCTTATTATTTCTTCTATTACCCTCCTTTACGCCCCATCCCCGCTTCCCCTTACTCCATTTCTCTTGTGTAATAGTAGTCTTCCTTCTACTTTCATGTCATCTTTGTTTTTTGGAATTTTATTATTTTAGATTCCAAATATTAGGGAAAATATGATACTTGTTTTTCTCTAAGTCTGGCATGTTTTGTTCAACATGATCTCCAGTTCCATCTGTTTATCTGCAAATAACAAATTTTCTTCTTCATGGCTGCATAATATTCGGCTGTGCGTATATACCACATTTTCTTTATATGTTTATCTGTTTTTCGGCACCTAGGCTGGTTCCATATCTTAGCTATTGTGAGTTATGCTGCAGTAAACACGGATAGACAGATATTCCTATAGTATGCTGACTTTAATTCCTTTGGGTATATCCCAAGCTTTGGGATATCTGGGTCATAGGACAGTTCTATTTTAACTTTGAGGAAACTTGATACTGATTTTCACAGTGGCTATACTAATTTACATTCCCATCAGCAGTGTAGAAAGGTTCCTATCACCCATATCCTTGCCAGCATTTATTGTTTTTTCAGAGTAGTTATTCTGACTGGGGTGAGAATTTATTTGTTCACTTAACTGGGCTATTTGAATTTTTGGTGTGAAGTTTTTTGAGTACTTTTCATATTCTTGATATTAATCTTCTGTCAGAAGAGTAGCTGGCAAAAATTTTCTCCCATTTTGACTGGTCTCTCTTCATTCTGTTGGTTGTTTCTTTTGTTCTGCAGAATCCTCTTAATTTAATGTAGTCCCATTTGTTGATTAGTGCTAGTGTTATGGAAGGAATTGGTAAGTGACACACAGAGAGGCAGCAGAATGGAAGTAAAATAAAAAAGTTTATTCTGTTGATGGGGGTCTATCACACTTACTAGCAGTGCCCTGATCGACCAAGTACTGGGTTATAACTTCCTCTTTTATAGGGTTTTACAGCCTTAATCTCATTCGGGTGGTTACATTTCATTCTCACAGTCCACATGGTTGATATATGAATCATGGTCGCAAGACAGTTGAATTTCAACCCAGGGGAGTTTACTTTTAAGATTCATCCAGCTGTCTATTCTAGCCCAGGGGAGGGGGCATTCCTAGTCAGGAAAACAAAGTGGTTATTTTCCATAATGATGGTTCTTTTTCATCTTTACAATCATGTGGTTTAAAAAACTTTTGAGCTAGGGATGCTTGCTGTGTGTGCCCTGTTATCTCAGGATGAGACTAGATACCTCCAGTGTCTGCTGATTCTGAACTAAACAAAGCAAACTGCTGTTAGGGATGGCAGAAGTCATTTTACATTGTGACATTTCACATGTTTTTGCTATTAAAGTTTTCTCTATCACTATTATTTCTTGTGCTGTTGGAGTCCTATTCAGGAAGCCTTTGCCTGTGCCTATGACTGTAAGCATTTCTTCTGTTTTTTTCTAACACTGTAGTTTAAGGTCTTATAATTTTTCTTAGGTCTTTGCTCTATTTTGAATTAATATTTGTAAAGAATGAGAGAGAGAAAGAGAGAGAGATCAGTTTTA